AATGTCATGAAAAGATCATGACCTATCACTTTACAAGTGAGGTTATAGTACCATGCAGTGTTACTCTAGATGGTATTTTATAGACTTGTTTCTCTTGTATCCATCTAGTGGTCTTTAGACACTCAAGAGTTCTTTAGAACTTTTCCTTGCTAAATAAAGTCCTGGCACCCCCAAATTGTTATGATTCCAGAATTTGGCCACACATTGAACTAACAGTAGAGTCATAAGCTAGGGCCTGGGCTCCTCAGTCCCCAGTACACGAGATCACCAGGAGACAGTACTGTGCTCTATGTTGTGTTAGAATATCTGGTATAGTGTCCCCTGTTAACTGTCTGAAATTGGCCAGCTCTATAAGCCTTTTTCCATAAAATGATGATTATAATAGGACTTACCTTTAAAACTTGCTGGAAAAAAAATTATTTGAAACACATAGCACTTTAAGCAGTTTTTAATGTCTAATTTATTTCTCAATATAATTTCATGTCAAGCCATTCATCAGATATTTTTATTAAAGATAAATTTAAAATGCAAGTTTCAAGGCATATATGATTTTGAAGAGAGATGTAATGGCTTATCTTAGAAGGAATACATTTGGCATTGTTTTACCTTTTATAGCAAAGAACCAAGTCAGCAGAGGGTAAAACGATGGGGCTTTGGCATGGATGAAGCACTAAAAGATCCTGTTGGGAGAGAACAGTTCCTTAAATTTCTAGAGTCAGAATTCAGCTCAGAAAACTTAAGGTAAGACAACTGCTTGCAATACATCTGGTTTTCTTTGCACTTGAATGGCCAGTTACAAAAATGATAATGATACGATCCTGTTAATTAATGGAAGGCTAAAAACCTTGCCCTATATTATCAATTCACTGCTTCTTGAGCTTTTAACTATATAATACTCAAACATTGACTTTGACTCCATAAAGAGGTAAAGATACAGTCATATTTGGTGAAGGGAGAATGACCAATTTAGGCGGATAATTAATGTTATCTATGTATCAATATTGGTCTTCTTTGCATATGGCTTCTCCAGTGAAGTCTAGAAAATGACTGGGTGTCTATCAACTACATGAGGCCACTTTGTTTATATATTTCAATAAATGTTCAGGGTAGCTGAGAGGAACATTGCCTTTCAATTGTTTAAAATCACTGAAGTATAAGGTTTTACAACAGAAATCTATTTTTCTATGTCCTCTTTCGTGCAAATACCCTATTTTTCTCAAAACTTATACAGCCCTGTACAAATTTCATTTATGGAAAGGAGTCATTGAAACTAACCAATACCAAACCATTTGGAAATACATGTGACTTTCACAGATGCCCCAAGGATCTGTGAAAGTTTTTTTCCCCCTCAATCTAGTATTTCTACTAGTCATCAAAGTGCCCACCAGTCTCTCCTCCATGCCCCCTCCTTCCTCTCAGGAGTCTCTCAGCTCTGCAGTCAACTTTCAAGGGCCAGTCTTACAGCTGTCTCGGTCTATTGCTTTGTTTAGTTTCTCTAGATTCCACATATAAGTGAAGCCATTTGGTATTTAATCTTTCTCTTGCTGGCTCACTTCACTGAGAGGAATCCCTTTGTTCCAGGCATGTTGCCATAATGGCTTTTTTTTTTTCTGACCAGTATTCCCTTTCGTATATAGACCATGTCGTCTTGATCCGCTTTCTACTGTAAACATAGGAGTGCAAGTTTCCTTTTGATCAGTGTTCTGTGCATTTTTTGATAGATAACCAGGAGCAGATTTGCTAGGTCACTTAGTAGATTCATATTTTAGTCTTCTGAGTAATTGTCACATGGGTTTCCATAGGAGTGGGACGCTTCTACTTTCCACCAACCGCTTAATAGGGTTGTTTCTCCACAAGTTGCTGTCTGTGGTTTTTCAGGCTGGGCCCATTCTCATGTGTAAGGTGATAGCTCATTGTGGCTTTGAGGCTTGAGTCCACCCAGCAGTGACCAGTGGCTGAGAGCCAAGTGAGACTTATACCCAGATTAGGCTGGGGACGGTGGTCGGTGCTGCAAGGTCAGGACCGGGCTTGCGTCTGTTCAGCCGGTGTTTGCGCACATGACGGGCCATGCTGGAGCTGTGGGCACGGCAAGGCAGGACTAGGCATGAGGTTACTCCAGAGGTGCTGGAGGCTTAGCCGGGAAGCAGGGATGTTGACAGTCCCTGAGGCAGAGCACAGGCTGCCTGGAGCCCCTGGGGCCTCCGCATGAGTCGGGTGCACTGCCCATTTCCGGCTGGGGACCAGAGGTGACGAACGAGGCCTTGCAAGGGAGGACTGTGGCTTGTGTCTGCTCTGGAGCTGCTGGTGGCTGAACACTGCTATTTCTGGCATTTCAAGGGATGGAGAGGTAGAGTTTCTTCTAGTTCTTTATGGTTTTAAAGAAAATGTTAATATACAGGGTACTATAACTTGCTTTTTCTTCATTCTGAGTCTCATCTAACCTTTGGTCTCTTTCAAGTTCTACCCTAATCTTGGAATCAAAGTGAGAACAGATCACAACACAAAGTGATGACTATTTAGTTAAGTGAATTCTTTTCTCTGTTGTCCCACTAGACCACTTGGTTCCCATCAGCTCATGACACGAGGTAACTAACTCAGCTGTTACCTGACCGGTGAGAAGGAGGTAACCAGGGAAAAGAAGCAGAAGAACTATTAGGCAAAGAACATAGCATTTACAAACTATTTCGTGGATGAGTTGATCACTGCTGATTCTTTAGTGTAAGCTTTATCCATTTCCTACCTCGTTACTTCCTAATAAATCTATATTTGTCTATATGTAAATAATATAAACATAGGTAAAACTATCAAACACCCAACAATATGCAATTGCTTTGTATCCCCTACTTTTATAAGTATGCTATATTTTATGTTCATTATTTCTGCTTATTTTACACTAGTCATGATAAAAATAAAAAATTAGTGTTCCATTTTACAGCTAAGTAAAAATACGTTCTGGATGTTTTGTCCAAGTCCTACTGTTATTACATACCTTGTTGCCATTTTATAAACCATTTATAAGCTAGTGTGCACTTCTCCCCAAATATGATTCCCACTGCTATGTCAAGGCATCTGGTGTCATGAGCTGCTGGGAACCAAGTGGTCTGGTGGATCATTTCACTTAAGTAAGTACCAGTGTGGCCAACTGAAGCAATAGTTGTTATTTATGGAAGTGTTCCACTCATGTGTATCTTCCCCTAGTATTAATACAAAAAAGAAAAGTCAAGAAATTCTGCGTATTGTTGACTATTTATTCCCAGATAGAACCTCTACTCTCCACTGGTGTAGTTTTTGCTCATGCCTTTCTCAGGTAAAGCATGTAGCATAGTAAACAGAGCACTGTGAATGTTACTGGCGAGTGCCTACAATGTACGCCGGTCACTTCACAGCATTTACAAAACTTAAAGTTGAGGTTCAAAGGGGTGACACTTCCCTCATATTCTTGCTACCATTCAATAGCACAAAAGGAGATCACCATGTTGTATCCCTTCTAGCCACTAAGCGATGGCAATGAGGCCTTTAGGTGGGCTGCTGCTGAGGGATGGTTCTGACTACCCCCATCAGCTGCAATTATCCAAGCTCAGCTATAATCACAGTTGGCAGTCTTATCAGTGGCTTTTTCTTTATATCTTCAGTCTCCTTGGAAAATAGTTGCATGTATTCTGTAGAGCTTTAAGAATTGCATGGCCTGACATAGTTTAATCACTTAGAACAGTGGTATTATTACTAACTTTGCAATAGATTACTCACTGCATCTACAACAGGTCTCCTTGATCTCTTTCCCCAGTAGCAGGATCTTGGCTACACTGCTTTCCGCTCTAATTTGTGCAATTCCATGACTCTCCTATGCATTCCCTTACGTTCTGGCCATTTGAATGTTTTTGTTTTTTTTTTTTTCCTGTCTTTGACAGAGACTTTCTTTTGATTAATGAGTTCAGAGTGTGCTGGAATGAACTTGAATGCACTTTCATTATACTTAATAACTCCCTCGGCCACTGCTATTTTGTTCCTAGCTTGTGGGTCTAGTCAATACCTTATTATGCTATTGTGTCTGTTCCTCTCTTTGATTTAGATTCTGAAGTTTCTTTTAATACTGCTTAGGGGATGCAAACTCCCTAAGATTGTCTGTTGTGTCTTTGTGCACATGGAATTCTGTTAGAATGCACCGTCAAAATCTATTTGCAGGGGAAATGGCCTTTACCTTCTAAAACAGTAACATATGCCCATAGGAAACATCTCTAATGTTAAATCTTAAGATTTAACATTAATGTTAAAAATTAAACCTTTTCTACAATGTGGTCCCTCATTATGAGACTTTTTTTAGCCAAAACATACTCTGGTGTTTTTTAGCATATATATGTAGAAGTGTCAGTATACTTTTTCCAGAATTTCTGAATTGCACTTTGAAAATTTAAGACATTCAAAGCTTGCCTTCTGTCATTCCCTAACCCTGAGTTTAATAGTCTAAAATTAGTTTACTTGCCTGATTTGTTTAGTTAGGGCCTTTTCTGATCTTGTGTACTGGGCTTCTTTCAACTCCAGTAAAGCTCCATGGAAATTTGCCAGGCAGGGCAGAAAAATCTGTCAATTGGACAATGGGATTAGCATAGAGAAAGGATTCAGTGTCCTACACAATTTTATTGTGCCCGTCAGATGCTATGTCACTTACCTTCATTCCCTTTAAAGTTTTCTTCCTTTCTAATAAATAGTTCTTTCTCAGCGCTAATTGCTTCAGTAAAATTAAGGTTATATAAGATGAAGACTGGCATAACTACTTTGACCAACCAACAGCTAAAAGAGAATGCTTTTAACATTTCTTTCCAAAAAGTTTTATAACTTTGCATAAAAGTAATGAAATAGATCAGTGAAGATTTTACAATGGACGCCTTAGAGGGGAAAAAAATGCATTATGTATCACTGTGAATTGCATGATTTGTCAATATTACAAAGATTTCCAAATGATGAGGCGGTAGAGTAAATGTTTTGTGTCACATTTTGAATAGATTCTGGCTAGCAGTGGAGGACCTTAAGAAGAGACCTATTAGAGAAGTCCCCTCCAGAGTCCAGGAAATATGGCAAGAATTCCTGGCTCCGGGGGCCCCCAGTGCCATCAACTTGGATTCTAAGAGTTATGACAAAACCACACAGAATGTGAAGGAGCCGGGACGTTACACATTCGAAGACGCTCAGGTTGGTACACAGGTGTGCTCCTGAAAAGAAAACAGCTGAAAACCTTTCATTTTACTTTCACGTTAGGGGGCAGCTATGTTTAATATTTTCAATGTAGGTAACTATATAAAACAAGTCCCGGGTATATTTTGTGAATTTAGAACATTTGAAACTGTTTAGTGTTCTACTCTGTCACTCAAACACTTGTCAAGCAATGGCCTCACCTCGGTAATACATATTTGAAAACTAAGATGCTTTACATGATGAAGAACCTAAGATTTGGATATTCTGAACTCATTCATTATGAATAATCAGGACTAAATTTAGTTTCATTAAAATGATGTCAAAGTCAAACCATTTTTCTCTTCAATCATAAAATGCAATAGTAACAGTATATTCAGGCACTTATTAGTTCTCAAAATTTATTTTTAGCTTCCTAAGACAAGTTTTTAGTGCTTCTCAAGTGGACATAATTGCCTTCTTAGAAACAATTAGAATTTCTACTTTCTCTTACAAAGAATGTTCTTAAAAAGGAAAATAAACTTGCAAAATGAGAGGACATTGTTTCTTAATGATTTTTTGAAATTTGGCTTTTCAAGTGGCTGTAAATCAGAACATGCACATTTTATAATTTCTTAAACTTCTATTAGAAAAGAATATTAGTGCTAAAAGTTTTTTTAGACTTAAAATAATGTGAATGACAAACACACATCTCCTTCCTAGTTTTCTCTGGCTAGAAAACATTTCTTCTTGATTTTGGTTCAAAAAATTGGCAGAGACTAAAACAGCTTAGCAGCCCCTCACAGATTTCTGTGTGAAAATAAGTATATTCCACAGAAATACATGAAAGCAAGGAGACTATTTTTAAATTTTTTGTTATCTGTATCATTAAAAGCAGTATTCTATAATAGTTCTTTCATAACATGTAAAGACATAGCATTCTCTAGAAACATTACCACCTGATCCTTTCAATTAAGTTCATAATTTTGTGCTATTTTGTTTGACTTTATATTTGATGTCGTTATTTTTAAAGATTTATTTGTGCATACAGAGCTGAGGTGTAGGGGCGGTGAGAGTGCCTTCACCAGAGACAGAGTAGGGAGCAGATCTACTAAAATACACTGCTGAGGGGAGCAGCAGGCAGGTCAGGAGAGGCCTGCCACACCGTGTGGGTCAGCTCCCTGGCTGGAGATAGAACTCAGGCCACAGTGGTGATACGCCTCTAGGCAGACCCTTTAAATTTATTTTTAATTCTACCACTTTGATTGAGGTAACATTGGTAAAGACATTGCAGGTAATTTAGAGTTATAGGTTCATGCCTCTTCAGAAATCTTCCCCTACCACACCCTCAAAGAAAGCACTTAGAAGCTCCCATTGAACGCCACCCTCCCTGAAGCTCATATACTTAACTCCATTTTTCTCCCCAGTGGCTTTTTAGCCCTATCTTCAAAAATGTAATAGAAATCCCTGTTACTGTTTGAGAAGAGACACATGGTTCAGAAAGCAGACGACGGAGCCAATTTGTCTGGATTCTACCTGAGCTCTGCTCTGTGACCTCTTGCAATTACTTTCTTCATGCCTCAATTTCTTCATATTGAAAATGGATATAATAACGGTTAGTACTCTGTGAGGCTTTTTGAAGATTAATTAATATAGGCCAGTACTTAAGAGGCGCTGGCATATTCCAGTATACTTGCCCACTTAGCCTGATAAACACCTACCTATCATTCCTGTAATCCAGAGCCATGAATAAACTGATCTGAGTTTAGTTTGACTTTGTAGCTCTTGAATATAAGAGCTGAATTATAAAATGCTTAACTCCAAAAGAAGACATTACCCTCCTTTTTCAACAATAAATTCTAATACAGCTCAACAAGTATTGCACGCACGGGTGGTGAACCTTTGGCCAGATACTAGGAATTAATCCTAATTTTTTTCCTGAACAAGATACTCTCAAAACTCACAATTAAGTTTGCTTCACTAGACTTGAAAGACGAAGGAGAATTTATGCTCTTTGACTACAGTGGGCCAGAGGAGACGCTCCATAGCTTAAGCCAACGCTGAACTGGATCAATACATTTTTTTCTTATTCTTAAATGTTTACTAAATTTATCATGTGATGAGTTAAAACATGCCGTTTGGGAGATTTAGTAAGTAAGTATCAAAACAATTATTTCTGAACTTGTGTTCTGACCCAAATGTAATGTGGGAGACACTTTTTCATTTAATTTTCACCAAAGGACACAAATCACCTGGACAGTCTGCACCCTTCAAAACACATAGATGCTGTTTCTAGGATGATAATTCAATCTTGACTTCACATAATCTACTGTTGTTCTGGAGTAACTTTTAAAGATAAAAGATGTATATATGCTTCAGTGGTTTAAAGTTAATTCATGATGTACTGTTAACCAAATTCCATATTTTGAATAATTGCAGTCAATTTCCTTATCTCCCAATCCAATTTAAACATAAATATTCAAATTCATTTTACTAGTCTAGTAACATTCTCATTGCCATTATCATTAACTTTTCTAGACTTGTTTTTCAAGTACATGGTGTGTCTTATTTTTCCTGAGAAATAATAAAACAGCACCTTAACCATTATTTCTTTTTAGGAGCACATTTACAAATTGATGAAAAGCGATTCATATCCACGTTTTATAAGATCCAGTGCCTACCAGGAACTTCTACAGGCAAAGAAAAAGGTATTGGTTCTTTGTGACTTTTTTGATTTAGTTTTCAATCATAATTATTTGGGGTAGTTACTTCTGCTTGGGCCAGGTTATTGGATAATGGTAAGTGAATGCGCTCCAAGACCCTCCCCCAAACCTTTGCATTTTATAAGGGTCATTTAAGTTGTTTATGTTCTGTTTGTTGATTGCTTATTTTCTGTTTGTCTGTCTCTGCAAGTGTTTATGCTCAAAGTTCTTTAGAATCTGTCTTCATGTTATTCTATAAATTTAAAGAATGTAAAAATTACAATGAAGAGAGGAAAAACAGTATTATCAGTTCAGGAAGGTAGAATATATATCCTGGCCCACTGTACCATATAACTAACTAAAAGTAGATTCTTATTTTTCCATTGGTATTTGCCAAATGTAGTAATGTTTGATTCTGAATGTCTCCATTTGGCATTTATCTTGAATCACTTAGTTTCCTAAAACACATTTTGGAATAGTCTCAGTAGATCTCATGATTCAATTCATGGTTATAACAGAAGTCTCATTGTTGATGACACCTTATACAATCTACATAAAAGGTGGAATGTTAGCATATTCCACAAGTTTTTGAAATTCTGGGACACAATGGTAATTTTGTGTAGTTTATAATCTTCATGTAGGCTAATGGGATTTTTCACACTCATCCCCCTTGCAACTAGAAATAGATACCATATAGTGGCTGCAGAGTCCAGTCCTCAGTTTAAATTTTAACTAAGATTACATAAAATTCTAGTCAAATACCAATTGTTCAGTTCCACAGCTAAAGGCTTCTATCTAGTCCTGATAAAAATTTGAGGAATTTTTAAAGGTATACGACTAGATTTTCAGATATTTAGAGTTTGCAAATGTCAACATACAAGTTTCAAATACCTACTGCAGTTGAGTATAATTTTATTTTGCTTGAAGTCACACCACTCTATTGTAATAAAAATACTAATGCAACCTCCTTCCTGTGACAGGAGGTCTTCTCAGCAGTGCTCTGGTCTTCTCTGGCTCTGTGATTTAAAACATGGATTTGGTGTTGTATCATTTCACCATTCTGTCTTTTTCTACTCTGTGTCTCTGTTTTCCTTGCTTTTTTTTTTTTTTATGTTTCCTATTTCCCTTGCCCCATCCTTTCCCACACATGTAAGTCGGAACATTCAGTGGATCGCAGAACATCTTTTGAAAAATTTGTACAGAATGTGGTAAGTTTTATTTTTTAGGAATTAAAAATCATACATCTGCTGAAATAACCCAGTTTCTAGCTCCACCGCTCACCTTGCATCACTTGGTATGAAGCAAAGGTGTTGCCTTTTCCAATTCAGAAATTCTTGTTTCCTACTTATCTTTCTGTCCTTCCTAGAGTAGATAAGAGGTTGAGGTGATAAAGTACCTATGTCAAGCAGTTGGAAAGAAGTATTATATATTAGATATTTTATTTTTCCCATGTAACCTTTATTAAAGATAGGGAAAGAGCATAGAAATATAGAAATGCATGCACTGAGCTCCTATGTCTTAAAACATTTCTACCTCTGGAGAAAGAAAATGACTGCTGAGCCAATTAAATCAAAAGATTCCATATAAATGGTTGTCAGGGACAAGATGTACCCACCCCTAAACCCGCTAGCATGTCTTTTTAGTCTTTGTTTTTCAAGGTGTTGGAAAGTGTTGCATATATCATCTGGGAAACCAGTTGTTTTCCTACAGTATTTTCTTAGTATCTTGCCTTATGTTTTTGATGATGTATTCATTTGTGGGATTATTTTTTTTATTGTGCCAGTGATTTGGAACTTACTGACATTATGTGAGCTCAAACTAAAGCCTTCAACACATTTATTTTTATAGGGCAGAAACGTCCCTATTTTCCCATGCCATAAAAACTGTACACCAACACTGAGGGCCAGCACTAACCTGTTATGAAAAGAGGTAGAAAAATCTTGGTTTATACTCAAGTTCGTCTGCATTGTTTGTTGAGTCGTGTGGTTTGTTCCATGCTGTTGCTACTGCTGTGTGTGTATCTGTGTGAGGCTGTATGTGCCATGGCTTTTGCTGTGTGGCCAATTTAGTGAGTTATGTGTGCTGAAATGTACGCAAATGGATTCAACAAAGACACCTTTTTTTGAATTTCCTTCAAGAATCATTGTGGTGGCAGGTGTTAATCAGTTCTACTTTTGAATTGCCAGTATTTAAAAGGTCTTAAAAACACACTGAACCTTCAATGTATTCGCACAAATTAAGGAACTGGAAAATGACTCCAGAAATCAATCACATTATAAAGTTAACAGAATATTGACTGACTCTATGGAATTTCTTGAACATGCCTCATAAGTGACCACTCAAATATTTTTTCCGGCGAATGTGGCCATTAAGTTGCTGCACAGTGTTCATGTGCATTTTAAGTATTGTTTTAGCAACCAGATTTAAAGTCTGTATATAACTGAAAATAATAAAGCAACATATGGAAAAGGCAAAAAATGGATGATACTGTCTTCCCTCCAAAGTCATCCACAAATCTGACCAACTTCCTCAACTCTGAAAATAGGGAGAGCAAGGAATTCTTGCCACCAATTTTTAGTAACAAACTTATGATACATAGAGAAAAGTCACTGATTACTACTTCTACTTGGCATGAGGGTGGAGAGAAAAGGCCAATGGGAATTCCCAAGGAAATTTACATTGAACTGGATAAATATTTTACTAGATCAAGAAGGGCAATGATCCTTTTAAGGAAAGGGACAGGAAAAGGCTGGAATTAGGCTGGAAACACAAATTGAGGAACATTCATATGTACATGTAGCATGTTAATAAATTTCACGTAAGCTTTAAGTTCAGTTCTTTAGGGTTAATCTCTTCATATAGAAAAGTAAAATAATTTTCATTGAATATTTTGTAACAGTAGTATTCTACAGAACTGGAGTAAGGAAACTGAAACTATGCTCTAATTCCCTTAATATATTACAAGTGATGACTAGGGCCCTGAGTGTAGAGTAATTTTATGTATATTATTTATCATCTTAGTCTTACTGAAGTTTTAGAAGTCTGGGTAGATGAGAATGTTTTATGTATCTAGTAGAAAAGGGAACAGATAAGACACTTAAGCCATTTTGCTATCTAGTAATTTTGCAACCTGTGTGTTGCAGGTTTAACACAGACTTCAGGAAACAACTTGCATGGTCACTAGGTTGTAGACACCGTGTTTCAGTGTTTGACCCATAAATTCTGCAACAAATAACACTTCCACAGAGATAATGCTTTTTGATTCAAATTTAAGACTCTCCAAGACCTGCTCTATCTTGAATGCTCAAAAACACATGGAAGTGTTATTTCTAAAAGACTGTATGAAAGCGTCTACAGAGTAAAATTTATGGGATACACTTATAGAATCAATAAAATAATTTTGACAAAATGTGAGTGATTTTGTTAGAATAGCTATAAGTAGAGGAAAATGGCGTTTAAATGTTTTAACAAGATTCCTATGTATAGGTTGCTCTGATACAGAAAAACTTCAAAAGGGATTTTTTTTTCAGCAAAAAAGTAGAATGAAAAAAGTTTCTAATAGGGAAACACATATGCAGAATGTAAAAGGAACTGGGTAAGTTAGTTAAGAACTCACATTCACTGAAGACCTGCCACTGTAGCAGATTCTACACTGGCTTCTGTATATTATCTCATTTAATTGGATAATACAAGTAAGAATTATACTAATTATTTTACCTTTTTATAGGTAAGAAAACTAAATGGTTAGGGGAAACTACAGTTAAAGCTGGCTCAAATTTATTTTGTTCTCATTGCTTGATATTCTTCTAGCTTCTAGAAAGTAAATAAATCCTGCCACCTGATAACCTCCCCCAGAATTTGACTGTTTGCTGAAAATTGTTTACATGTCCCAGCATATTATTTTAATAACCTGGCTTATGAAAATGGCATCTTTTTGTTTCATGAAAGTAAAACCTGCTGTTAGTTTGCCACAGTCTCAGTAGAACTTCTGTTGGTTACTGACACCTACTAAAAATTTACATAGCATTTTGCAGTTTTATAAGGGTCCAATGTTTTTATATTGAAAATATATTCCATATGGACGTAACACCGGTTTACAGCATTGCATGTGACTTAGACATGTTAGGGTCCAACTTTCAGGTGCATGTCGTCACCCCACACCCACCACCAAGGCACAGAGTCCTCCGTGACAGTCCATTTTGCCAGCTCCCCCCGAGTGCATTATCCTGTCTCTTCCCTTCTGGGGCCATTGACTCTAGTTATGTTTCTAAGATTCGTTACTGGTTTGATTTTATCTAACCCTTTTTTGCGTTACACTACTTCACATGTGAGTGAAACCAGCTACTATTGGTCTGTCTCCTGATACATTGCACTTTGTGTGGCCCCCGCATGCAGTCCTGTTGTCTCGAAAGGCGACAGTGTAGCTTTTGTAGAGCTGCCCATTGCGTATAGGCTACTACGAAGCCATCATCTGTCTGTTGCGCACTGAGGTTGCGCCCATAAGCTTGACTGTTGTACAGGGGGCTTCAATGAGCGCAGAGGTACACACGTTTCTTCAACTTACTCCTTTTGTATTGTGCATGCAGATAGCTAGGAGAATTGCTAAATTATATGGAAGATACATTTTCCACATTTTGAGAAAACTCAAAACTTTTCCAAAGGGGATGGGCTGGTCTGTGCTCCCAGCACCACTGCTCTTGCGCCCCCTTCCCCAGCACTGGCTGTTTCGGTCTCTTTGATACGGCTCATTCTCACGGGTGTGTGCTGGTATCTCACTGTGGTTTTGATTTGTAGTTCTGTCATAATAAATAATGACTGGCATTCTCGTGGGCCATCGATGTGTCTTATTTGGACAAATGCCTATTTAGCTCTACTACCCTTTTTTTTTTTAAGTAGGTTGTTTTGCTCTGGTTATTGTTGAGTTTTACGGGTTATTTACAAAACACATGATTAGATAGAAAATACTGAGTGAAATAGTAAATTAGTTCAATAAAGTGGTATGTTACAAAATATGCATGCAATGAGCTAAAAGATAAAATCAAGAATGAACCCATTACGACCACACCAAAAAGAGTTACATACTTAAGAGTAAACCTAATACGGAAGTTAAGGATCAGTACAATGACAACTACCAGCCATTGTTGAATGAACACATATTCCCTGCTCATACACTGAAAGAATTAACATTACAAAAATAACATCTTACTCAAAAAATATATAGATCTCATGCAGTCCTTATCCAGCTTTCAGTGACACTCTTCAAAGAAATAGGACTTTCCTGAAGTTCATATGGAACTACAAAAGACAGCCAAGTAGCCAAAGCAATTCTCAAAAAATAAAAGTTGTAGACCTCAGGCCATACAACACACACAGACCTAATGGATTAAAGTTGAGTGTCCAGAAATAAACCCACAATTATGATCAGTGAATCTATGATAAAGGAGACAAGTGGATACATTGTAGAGGAGAATGTCTTCCCCAAAATGGCATTAGGAAGACTAATGATGAAAAAGAATGAAAAGAATTCAGCCAGATGAAAGGAATGGAACTAGGCCAGTCTTTCACACAAAATTAACTCAAAATGGATAAAACACCTGAAACCATTAGATATGTAGAAGAAAACATCAACAAGACACTCCATGACATAGAACTTCAATGTGTTCTTGGAATTCATCTCCAACAGAAAGAAAAACCAAGGAAGAATGTAAGCAATTAGGATTACCTCAAACTAAAAATCTTGTGCACAATGAAAAACTATTACTGAAACAAAAAGACAACCTATTGGAGAAAATATTTGTACAATATATATCTTTCAAAGGAGGTAATGTTCAAATCAGTAACTCATGCAATTATCAACATTTTAAAAATTCCTTCATTTTTTATCCTCCGAGGAGTATAAATTCAATGCATACTATCTGTTTGATAGGTGAGTATACAAAATGAAAGCTGAAACAAATTGACTACCTGCTATTCTGATCAGGAATTTTAAATTCCTTTTAGATCTTAGAATATTTGTAGTTAGTGGACAATGTTGACTTTCAAAGTTTCCAAAAATGAATATGTACTCAAGGTATTAACACATTATGTGGAATCAATACGCAGGACTTTTATGGGGTTGGAGGAAGTCAGGTGGCAAAGGACAGGGGAAATCTGGGCAGTTTGGAGTAAGCAGTCTCTCGCACCCACCACCCATCACACCCTCAAAACCGTCTTATTTAAATTATGCCTTCTGCATATTTAAGTATTTATAGATGCAACACTGATTCCAGAACTTGATAATGTATTCACACTGCTCTTCCGGAGTGCTTAGGAGGTTCATTAAAACATTTATAAACAGTTGCAAATCTAAGTGTTGCTTCATTGCTAAATCTCGATAGAGAAGTTTATGAACATGTTTTATGACTTGTCAATTTGTGCTTGAACCCATCAGTCTGTTTGCAGTGGGGGGAGGGGGGGTGCGGGGGGGGCACGCAGGAAGAAGGGAAGGGCCTTCTGTTTGCTGTGTTGTTGGGAGGTGTGGGAGGGTGTTGATCACAAAAGTTGAACTAAGGTATATCCAAAGCTTTGCACAAAAAATGTGTGTCTATAGATAAAAGCTGCAAAAGATGTCACTAGTTAGAAGATTTCCACTGACCGTATTGTTTTTGTTTTGTATTTTTCTCTCAGGGGAAATCTCTCACATCTAAGAGGTTAACAAGCCTTGTTCAGTCTTATTAAAAGGATCTTCTCGTAGCATGGAAGCTGACTGGAGTTTTGCATACACTCTGTTGTCCTTTTGTTTTACCTGGAACAGAGGACTTTAGACCAAGCAAGATGTTGCATGAGCAAAGGACCTGAACTGTTCTTTCTTTGTGCATATTGAGAGGCGTTGGCATCGCCAAGGAACCCATCATCGTGATGCCTCCATTTCAATCTGTTGTCTGCTTACTTCTACTTGGTATTGAGCTGAATTTGTATCTTTCCTTTTTACTAAGTTCAAGTGAAGTAAACCTTATCCCCCCCTTTCTATTTCTCTTAAAGCTTCTGCTAGAGATGCAGGTCATTGAAAATACAGTCAGTCGTAAACTGGAAGAATTGTAAGAAAAAAGTATCTATCAATAAGTATACATATGGCTTCACATTTATTAAACAAAAAATTAGTGCAGAAAGTTTCTTCTTACCAGTGTATTCACAGCCAGAAACAAGTTTATGTCATTATCTGTTGTCTGTATATTCTTAGTTAAAGTTTCTCGCATTTATTTTTATACCATATTTAAATAAGAAATGCTGTTTATTCCAAATGTATTAAAGTTGATCCCTTCTCTGTAAATTTGTGTATGTTTCTATTGTTGTTTTATCTTTCATTAAAGGAAGCAGAATCTGATTGTGTTTGCAACTTTTGACTCCTATGCTAATTGATAAAGAAGCTTCCTCAAATGCAAAGTTGCAATAGAAACTACCTTCCTGAAAGTTTGCTTCAGGGTTTCAAGCCAAGCAGCCAAGAGCTGACTGCAGGTGTTTCATTTGATAGCTGATCCAGACCAAGTAGATCATTTTCGTCCCATGGAAAAACAATATATATCAGCCATTTACTTTTTCAGAGGTCATTCTAACTCATTGGGAATGTAAGTCTTTATGTTTTCCTAATTGCTGTTTCTACTGGAAGTGGCTTTAAGTGTGATTCCCGACTTTAAAGCCTAAGTCCAAAAGTGACCTAGGTGAGTGGCCCTTTACTCTTTGGTGGGTACACAGTCCTTTGAGAACTTGATGGCCATTATTAACACCCAGGGAGTTACTAAGTGCCTGCCAACGGTGTTCTCTTTCTGCAGTTTTGAGACTACTGAAGCAGAGAGAGGTGTAACTGGTATAACTTCTTGTTGTAAGTCACACACTCAGTAGGTGACTTGAGATACAAGTCCAGGCAGTCTATGCCTAGAATCTGGTTTACGACACTTATCCACTACATGGAACTACTTTTTTGGTAAAAGTAAAAAAAAAAAAAAACACACATATACTCTCAAATAGGCAACATTCGTACTGAATTTTGAGAAATTTACGAAAACTCACAAAACTCATCCATGAATCCCAAGTAAGAAGCCTCACTGCCTTTAAGGGTTACATCAGAGACGTGAAAGACCACCTAGCAGAAGACGGACTAGCTTTCAGATCCATTTCAGACTCTGGTTATCTTCTTAGTTATCAATAGTTATTAATAGGTAAACTTAAATTCTGAAAATGTTTCTGGTTAGTGAGAAATTAATAGTGGAACATTGAACTGGTCCTAGAACTGCCATAGGGAGGAAGAGCAGTGGTGGGGGAAACATACACAGAAATGTGAACACTGAATAGTTCAACAAAGTAATTATATACCACATGATTTTTTTAAAATGATACAAAAGCCACAAATAAATCTAAGTTAATAGACATTCTCCCTTAAAAAACTTCCTGCAGGACACACCTGGGCACCTAGCCCTGAAATTAGATTGAAGCGCTAGACAGAAACTTTCCTTGAAATAAAGCAGTAAACTTATTAAAACAAACTGAATAAACAATAAATCTATATCAGGGTGTCATTTAATAAGCCCCTACTTCTTGCCCAGCAAGCAAGTTGGGAAGCTTGAACAGCCACCAGTGCCAGGGAGAGGGGGAGGGGGAGGAAGAGAGTGAGTGAGTGTGTGTGTGTGTGTGTGAGTGTGAGTGTGTGTGTGTGTGTGTGAGAGTGTGTGTGTGTGTGTGTGTGAGAGTGTGTGTGTGTGTGTGTGTGGTCCCCACGGCCAGATGGAAAGCCCTGTCTCAGCACTGTAGAAGCAGCGCCAGGCACATTCTTCTCAGAGTCCAGTGCCAGCGATCAGACTTCCATCAGAGAAGGGGTACAGTGTGCCCTGAGTAAGAACCCACAAAGCAGAGTAAAAGAGCCTCAGAAGTTCCCTTCCTACTCAGATGGAATCTTCCAACTTCACCGGCACCTCTGTCGGGTACTTTCAATGAGTCCATCTTTCCTGTTCTCCACTCTCTGCCTGGTGGGTCCCTTCACCCCGCCCCTTGGACAGCACCCTCATTTTCCAACACTTTATACCAATATGACTGACTTCTTTCACAACTTGTTGGTCCTCCTTAGAAGCCCACCCTTACTCTTTCAAATCATGAATTTATAAAAATATAAACTTATAAGACTGTCAACAGAGAACAGAGAAGCCCTCCAGTGAGTATTCTCTAATCAGGAGTTCCTAGTAAAAATATTTAAACTTTTTGTTGAATGTGAAGATCTAAATACAGATTAGTTTCCACATAAAGTACATCTAAAATTTTTATTTACTATGTCTACACTATAAAATATAAACATGGAAACGGAAAATAAAATTTCTCAAGCTCATGAGAAATGATGAAACAAAGAAAACAAGAGCTACACAATTGTAAATAAAAAGGATAAAATGAAACAATAAATCTAAAGCACAAATTACGTGACATAAACTCAAATACCATAGCAATTTAAATACAGATAATTATTGTACATTCTCTCTTAAAAGTTCTCAAGTAAGACTAAAATTATTTCTGCAGAACAATAGCTAAAAAATGGATAAACAATTGGAAAATATACAAAAGATAAATATTAACCAAAATTGGCTTGTATGTCTGTCTATTCAGTAAATCAGGTAACATGAAAACCACTAATTGAAATTAAGAGAGACAGTCATCACGCAACAGTACGGAATAGAGAGGTTGGTATTACCCTCCCTTAAAAAACAGGAAAATAAATAGTATTTGCTTATAAGAAAACCCAGATATTCCACCCTCTCTATAGATTCCCCCAGAGATCTCGATCGAGGTTGGTGACCCCTCAGGGTTAGGAGTGAGAGGAGGAAGGGGAGCCAGTTAGTATCCCAGCTGGAGAACAGGTTGGTCAGACACCCAAGCCATGATGGGGCAACCCCGAGTGTTGTCAAATTCCCTGGAGAAAATGCTGATCACACGTGGCCACCGACCTAGCCCGCAGGGAGTTCTGCAGGCCGCAGGCGCTGGGGAAGCTGAACCCCTTTGGACAGCGAAGGCACCGCCACTCCAGGAGGCATCAGAGAGATGCCAGGCTGAGCCCAGCAAGACTCCACACAAGTCCCAGAGCAGAGACAAGTGCTTAGGAGATACCTCATAAACCACTTGGCAAATTAAACACATAGCGTGCACGGATCACAGGCCCCCAGAGCGCCAGCAAGGGAGAGCTGGGGTGGCAATGGCCACTGTGGCCATCCATCAGGACAAGACAGCGCGCCAGCCTGCTTCCTCAGGCACCACTGCACCTGCCTGCCATGCATGCTCGGTCAGGGGGTCTAAGACTTCAGAGCCTGCTTTCTCAGGGGGCTCAGGCTTCACAGACCATGGCCTGCAGCAGAAAGAAGAGCAGGCAGGCACAGAGAATTGAAGGTAACCAAAGTCCAGAATTCAGATTCCTGGGAAACGGAGGTAGAGGTGAACGGTTGCAATCCTCAGACCGAGGCTGAGTTTTAAAACGCGAGACGCCCTTCTGGCCATTCCTCACACCAAGGTAAACCGAGACGCAAACAAGCAGATCTAAGTACACACAAACACAAATAAGACAAAATAAATGCCTAGGAAGCAAGGGCATTCTGAATAGATGGGAGACAAAGTAAGAGCAGAAACTCTTGGACAAATATAAAGGCTACAGAGCTCGTGGACCCATCAGCAAGGATAAAAAAAAAAAAAGGACTGAAGATGCTAAATAAGCTACCAGGTGGTCAAAGACAGCAGGTAGGTGCAAGGTCTTACAAATGAGATCCAGGAAAGAGAAGTCTTTGCCAAAGAGATCGAAAATTTAAAGAGCACAAAAAGAGAATTCAAACTAAATGCGGACAAATTTAGACAGTGTTTTATATAAAATTAAGCTAGCAAAAGAAAAAATTTCAAAAGTAGAAGACTCAAGTGAACAAGTAACCTATTTAGAAAAAGTATAAATAAAATGGCTAAATGAAAATACTCATAGGAAACATCAGAGTCCACTAGAAGAGGAAACTTAAAAATAATTGGGGGGCCCTCCCTGGTGGCGCAGCGGGTTAGAGCACAGCACTGAGAACCTAAAGCCGCTTCCGCATGAGTTGGATCCTGGTCCGGGAGGTGACCCATATGGCACAGGGCGCGGCAGACCTCTCCTGACCCGCCCGCTGCTCCCCTCAGCAGTGGACTTCGTCGATCTGCCTGTTCTGCTCCCCACTCTGCCTCTGGTGAATCCTCTCACTGCCCCTGCACCTCTGGCCTGTACCCCAGCTCTGTATGCATAAATAAATCTTTAAAAAAAAATTGGGACCCCAAAATTAGTGAGGAGAGAAAAAACTATATTCAAAGAAAAAATAATTGGAAATATCCCAAACCTAAAGGATAAATTAAAATAGGGAGCTGAGAGCACCAAATATTTAAATGGAAAAGGAGCTATTACTTGATGCATCTTTGTCAAAATATTGAAAATGAGAGACAAAAAGTTCAGGAAACAAGGAAGACAGTAGCTCCCCAAAACTCCTAAATTGGGCTTTCCTCAGACTTCCGCCCAGACATTCGATAGACAAAAAGAGAATGAAAAGAAGTATTCACAATTCTATAAAAAAATTTATTAAAAAGATGATTGATTGATTGATGCATATCAGAATTGGGGTGCAGTCCAGAGGTGCGGGGGTGACTAAGAGGACTCACCAGAGACAGAGCGGGGAGCAGAAGGGGAGATCTATTGATAGCCACTGCTGAGGGGAGCAGCGGGGCGACAGGAGAGGTCTGTCGCGCCATGTGGGTCAGTCTCTGGCCGGGGATTGAACTCAGGCCTTAGCGGTGACAGTGCTAAGACAATCCCTAGGCCTCTAGGGAGGCCTCCAGTCTTCACAATTCTGAAAAACAGGAACTTCCAACCAGTAATTCTTTATATTGCAAAATTACAGTTCAATTGCAATAAGGGTTTTTTCAGACAAACAGTTTACCACCATGAGATCTACCTTCAAGAAATGTTGAAAGAAGTTCTATATAAAAAAAGAAAACAAATGAAACAGAAAATTCTGGAACAAAATGACAACGCACTAAAACACCAGAAGCATGCCAAGTCAACTACAGGACACTAAAGGCGAGGAAGAAACAGACAGGGCCTTTCTAGCTAAGTGCTGGAGAGCAGATACCAGCTCACGAAGTACTTAACAGGAATTTAAGTAAAACTCCCATAGTACCCACTAACCAAAAATCCAGAATACAGACTCACAGGGAGAGAACAAAGAATGGTAGAAATACTGAGAAAAACCATCTGCAAAGAGCAAAGAGAAACAAGTGGAAAAGAAAAAAACAGAAAAACAAAAGTGACTGTTAATAAATAGGTGGTATCAA